TCCCAGCCACCGCAGCCTCGACCTGCTGGGCTCCGGCGATCCTTCCGCCTCAGCCTTCCAAGTAGCTGGAAATACAGGCACACACTGCCACGCCCGACTAATTTTTTGATTTATTGTAGAGATGAGGTCTCGCCAAATTGCCCAGGCGGGTCTCGAACCCGCGGGCTCAGGCAATCCACTCACCTCAGCCTCCCAAGGTGCGGGATGACAGGCTGAGCCACCAAGCCCGTTTTTTCTTTAAATTTCATTACTTCTGCCATTCCTGCTACAAAATACCAGACTTCAGAAATGGCAAAATTGCCTTGTTTCTAACATCAAACTTTGAAATATGCTTGAGAAAGGGAAAACCATGAAATTCTAATACTGGTGTGTGGTGCCTTGATTAAATATGGCAATCAACATTTCTAACTACCCTTTGTCACCTTGGGAGATTTTGCATCCTGGCACAATTCATGGTAGGACACTTCTAAATGGGTAGGAGTTTGCTGTGCTTTTTTTCAGTCAGGAAAGGAGATGCAAGTACAGCCTGTTCCCAGGCAGATTGTTTTAGGAAGTACACATGGGGAAGAGTCATCTAAAAATTCATCCCCGGTTTACTTTCTTTTTTTTTTTTTTTTTGAGTTGGAGTCTCACTCTGTCACCCAGACCGGAGTGCAGTGGCCGTTCTCGGCCACTGCAGCCTCGACCTGCTGGACTCCGGCGATCCTTCTGCCTCAGCCTTCTGAGTAGCCAGAATTACAGGCACGCACTACCATACCCGGCTGATTTTTTGATTTATTGTAGAGGATGAGGTCTTGCCAAGTTGCCCAGGTGGGTCTCGAACCTGCGGACTCAGGCAATCCGCTCACCTCAGCCTCCCAAAGCGCGGGATTACAGGCTGAGTCACCAAGCCCGGCTCAGTTTACTTTCTAATAGAGTCCCCCAGGGATCACATGCCCTCTTGAAGTCTAGTTCCCTAAGGCCAAAGGTCTCCTTGCTGAAAGGTTTCTCAGCAACACATGGTGCCTATAGTCTTGATACCAGGGGAGGAAGACAAAGAGGGAGAGACCCTTATCAGTCCCTCTCACCTGCCCCCAGACTTTTCCCAGGACTGCTCCATCGGCAGGCCTGGCCTGACCTTCTCCATTATGACCTGCAGGAGGGTGCTAGTGGGATGGTGCACAGGGTAGGTTTGGAGTGTCCTGGGTTTACAAAGTGGGAGAATGAACTGCTGGGATATTCTGAGATTGGGTGAGGTTTAAGGTGTTCCCTGCCAGGGCTGGGACTATAATAAAACCAGAGAGCTTCCGGGGTACAACATTTGAGGAGGCTGAGCAAGTGTAGGGTCAGTCCTAAAAAGAAGTGGCTTCTCTTGCCTCCCCCTAGTCCCGGCTCTGTTCAAATTCCATCTCCACCATGAGCTTTGTGCTAGTTTTTCTTTTTTTGAGTTGGTGTCTCACTCTGTCACCCAGACTGGAGTGCAGAGGCACGCTCACAACCACCCCAGCCTTGACCTGCTAGGCGCAGGTGATCCTTCCACGTAGCCTTCCAAGTAGCTGGAACTATAGGCACATTCCACCATGCCCAGTTGTGTGCTAATTTTTTTTTTTAATAAAGAAAGGTAGATTTATTAAAGGAAAGATACGTTGTGAAGGGCACAACAGGCAGGACAACAGTAAGAGTCTGCTGTCAGCTGCCTGCGCTAATTTTTAAAATCTCCCCAGACCTCAGTTTCTCACCTGTCAAATGGGTTAATGATACCTAGTTCTTAAGATTGAGGGACAACTGAGAGCTTTGTCTAACTGGGTACTTACTAAGTGCTCAATAAATGGCAGCTCTTACGATCTTTTGCGAGACGTAATCTTAGTGTAGCCATGGTCTACAGTTAGACAGTCATGAGCAACTATGTCACACCCCTCAATTTTGCAAACTGGGTATATGTCAGTGGCACCTAGCTCTTCCTGGGAGGCCTTGCTGTGGAAACTTCCAATTCACCATGCCACCCTATTGTTAATGCAGTACCTCCCCCAGATGCTGGGGAGTAGGGCGGGGGTGGAGAGAAGATGTCTGGCCAGCAAACACAGATGTGCACTGCTTTGCTTTGGCAGACACTGCTCATAAGCAGAACCTCCACACCCTCGGCCGCCATGAAGCTCATTTCTCCCAGAGACTTTGTGGACTTGGTGCTAGTCAAGAGATATGAGGATGGGACCATCAGTTCCAATGGTGAGTGATGGCTGAAGCTTCCAGGACTTCTGGGATGCTGGACTGTCTCTTTTGCACCCATTTCCTCAAGGAAAGCCAAGCGACTGGGAATCACCAGGAAATTCATGCTCTGGGTCCTTTTCTCTTTGTGTGCCTCGCTTTGTTGGGTTTGGGGGGATTCTGTGCCCTAGGGGTCTGAGGTAAGAGAGTCTTCATACCAGTAATTTGGTTTTTAAGTCACAGATTTTGTCAGTATTTCTACTGAAATTAATAGGTTGTGCTGTAGACACACAATTGGGCAGCACGAAACCTCAGTGTGCAGTGATCACTGAATCCATGACAGTGTCTTCTTGAGGTCAGGACACTGTCTACTCCATTCCTGCCCCATGAGGAACAGAGCTTCTGCCTCAGCACAGTCCCTGCTGGGCCTCCAGTTCTTCCCCAGGGGAATTGGTGGACACATCCACACCTCTGTTGGCTGAAATTTGAGAGGGGCGCCTGCCACCTCCTACCCCCAAACCTTGCATTCTTGAATGTTCTTTTCTCTAACATTCTGGCAGACTTGGGAAAGCTTGTGTGCAATGTATGTCCACAAATGTGTATGAATGAGTGTGTGTGAGTGCCAGTGTGTGTATGTGTGTGCATGTGAGTTTGTGTGCATGCATGTGAGTGTGCATGTGTGTGAGTTTATGTGCAGGCAGGCATGTGATTGTGAGAGTATGTGCGTGTGTGTGAGCTTGTTGCATGTGTGTGTGAGGGTGAGTGTAGGCATGTGTTGAGTTTGTGTGTATGCATGTGTGAGTATGAGTGTGCATATATGTGAGCTTATGTGCTTATGTGTGAGAGTGTGCACTTGTGTGCTTGTTGCATGTATGGGAGTGTGTGTGTGAGTGTATGAGTGTGCATTTGTGTGAGTTTGTGTACATGCATCTGATGTTGTCACTTACTGGCCAACTGCACTGTCTTCCAGCTACCCATGTGGAACATCCGTCATGTCCCCCGAAACCAGGTTTTGTGAGAGGATTTAACCATCCTTGTGGTTGCTTCTGTGAACCTCTGCCAGGGTAAGGATAGCTTCCTGCTTTGAGGTACATGTATCAGACTGAGCTGTGGCTTCTCTATGGACATATTGTGAAAAGGGGCCCTTCGACTACAATTCACAAGAATAAAAACGCCTGACAGCTCTTTAGGCCTTGATATTACAAAACAGTTTCATATACACTTCAGTGACATGATACACAAAAGTACTTGGCACACCAGAAAGAATTATAGGACAGCATTACTGTTATTACTTTTGGTGTGGGAAATCCCCTGTCCAGCCCCATAAGACAGGTCAAGCAAATGTTATGGTCCCATTCAGCAGATGAAGAAACTGAAGTTTGGAGAGGTTAAGTGATATGTCCAGGATCAAAGGCCAGAGGTGGGCAGTGTAGGGTCTGAGCTCCTCGTCCTCTCTGAGCACCATTCACCAGCCTGGAGTGGCTTCAGGGATAGCTGTCCCCTATCCCACAAGCCACAAAATACTTGTCTCTTAACAAGGAATGGGCGGAGCTCAGACCTACAGGTCAGTCTCTACCACACTGTGAGTCAGCCTCAGAACTGACTCAGGAACCCTCTGTCCTCATTTTCCCACAGGTCATGGCCAAGTTTTTACCAGGAACTTTATTTATCATGAATTATCTGACAGTCACTAGCTTATCCGGGGAACCACCCAAGTTGACACTGAAAGAAATTGCACCTGTGGGTGTGTCCTAGTGTCCCCTGCAGGCCCTGTTCACACACCAGGAGAGGAAGGGTCTATGCTTTAACACATCGTCCCAGAACACGGGCCGGTGCCATGAGAGTTGACTAAAAGCCCAGGCCAAACACCTCCACGTAACCCTCTTGGCTAAGCTGGCTTTTCAGACAGCTTATGAAAGATTTTTTCTAAACATAATGAAATTTTGAGTTTGAAAATAGCATAACTGTGCTCCAACACACACACACACACACACACACACACACACACACACACACACACACACTCAATTTTAGGCCCTCCACCCCTGGTCTGGGCTGAGGGCACTCAACTTCTGCCTCACTTCCTGTCCTCCCCACCTGGCAGTCAGGTGCTAAGACTCACCTTTCGATGGTGCCAGGTTTGGCAGAGGAATTTTCTGAATAAGAGTCAGAGCCTTTCTTGGGTACCAAATCCCACAGCTGTCTTCCTTTGGACAGAATGCACAGTGTCCTGAGTACCATAAGCCCTCATGCAGCAGCAAAGGTGATGGCATGGATTTTGCAGATGGAGTGATTGGGGTCCCACAAAACCCAGCTAATGTGGGGGTTTTCACCCAAGTGTTGACTATTCCATCTCCTAGCCTCTTGATTGACAACATTTTATGGGCCAGGCTCAGTGGCTCATCCTGTAATCCCACACTTTGGGCGGCCGAGGTAAGTGAATTGCCTGAGCCCGAGGGTTCGAGACCCACCTGGGCAACTTGGCGAGACCTCATCTCTACAATAAAAAAAAAAATAGCCGGGTGTAGTAGCGCGCGCCTGTAGTTCCAGCTACTTGTAAGGCTGAGGCGGAAGGATCACCAGAGCCCAGCAGGTCAAGGCTGCGGTAGCCGGGAACGTGCCACTGCACTCCAGTCTGGGCCACAGAGTGAGACTCCAACTCAGAAAAAAAAAACAAACAAGAAAACCTTTTATGTTCTTAATAAAGCTTTCTGCTGGGGCTAGCTGAGTTGCTATAATCCCAGCACTTTGAGAGGCTGAGGCAGGAGGATTGCTTGAGCCCAGGAGTTTGTGACCAGACTGACAACATAGTGAGACCTTGTTTCTACAAAAAAAAAAAAAACAAAACAAAACCAAAATTAGTTAGGCATGGTGGCATGCCCCTGTAGTCCTAGCTACTTAGGGGGACTGAGATGGAAAGATCTCCTAAGCCCAGGAAGTTGAGGCTATGGTGAGCCATGATCATGCTATTACTGCACTCAAGTCTAGGGGACAGAGTGAGACCCCAACTAAAAAAAAATTATCAGGTAGATGCACTAGTAATCATCAGATGTTAAGTGCTTTGGGGAAAACTAGAGACAGATAAAGGTACCAGTGAAGGATGGGAGTGGGTTCCTAGGGGGTCTCCCTGATAGGGCACTTGAGCAAAGTACAAACGCAGGGACCTCGGGTGCAGGGTGGAAGAAGTGTTTCTGGAAAGAGGATAAGTGGGCTCAAAGTTCTGGAGGTGGCAACAGGAGTGGGGTGTTTAGGGAATGGCACAAAGGGAGGCACAGAGAGAGGCCAGGGGAGAGGCTGGGAGACTAGGTCCACGCAGCAGCAGGAACCATACCCCACTGGACACTTTCCTCTGAATAAAATGGGAAGCCGTTGGGGGAGTTTTGAGCAGGATGTGCTCTGACTACCATCTTAGCTGCTGTGACACATCTGGAGTGGAAGGGACCGTGAGCAAGAGAGGCAGGGGACTCCAGGATGGAGGAGGGAGAGGCAGTGTTGAGGCCACAGGTGATGGTGGCCACCCCAGAGCAGGAGAGAGGTGTTCTCCAGGTGGAGGAGTGTGCTTATAGCCAAGGCAGCATCACAACATCATTTATGCAGCACTTGCTGTGTGTACAGGAAGTAGGTTCAGTGCTTTCTGCATGTGCTCTCATTAAATCCTTACGACAGATGTAGCGGATGCCTTTGTCCAGGCCTTCTCTGTTGGGAGACTGGCAACCTATAGCTCCTCTGAGCCCCCTTTCACCCTTTCTGTTATTGTCATGGGATGGTGGATACGCAAGAGCCTCTACTTGCAAGGCCACTCTGTGACGTATCGAGCTTGCCGCTTCCCACACAGCCTGTTATACGTTTTGCCTCCCACAAAGCCCAATGCTCACACAGAAGGAAACAAGGTCACTGAGTCAGGTTGTGCATGCATCTGTTCATGTTTCCAAACCAGAGGATGCTGCTGAGAGATAATGGGGCTGGAGTTAGCCCGTGGGAGGAGAAGAAGAGACGAGACTAGGCCCCAGCCAAGGTGGCATGGGCAGGGCTTGGTGGGCGAGGGAGAGGCTGGAGATGGATGATGTCAAGGCTTTGAGATGTAAAGAAGCCCCTGCCCCCAGAGTTCACCCACTTTGGAGGAGCCCAGCACAAGCAGAGGAAAAAAGCCACAGCCCAGATGAGCACTGGCTGTCCTGCACTGTTCATCTGCCTGTCCTGTCCCTGTATGGGCTTCAGGTGCTCTGTTTGTACAACTAGGGGTACAGGGTGCTAAGGATCAATTCCAAGCCCTTAATGTGCATGAAGCCAAGAAACATCTGGCAGGTGCCAGGGTTTCTGATGAGGCTGGGGTTGTTTACAGGCTATTCAAATAGAAGACCAAATGGTCTCCACAGATTCTTGCCGCCCTTGCTGCCCTGGCCATTGAGAAACTTGTGATGGTGAAGCTGCTTTGTGTCCTCACCAAATTGTGTTCCCTCTCCTCTCATGTGTGCCCCTTGCCGAATCTGATTCTGCAGTGGCTTCGCTCCCTCCCACCCCACCCACCATATTTTCTTCAGCGTCATATTGCCACATTTGCAGCCCAGGGAGGCCAGCCAACTTGCTGTAAGTTATGCAGCAAGTTAATGGCAGGACACTGCCTGGGGACTTCCAGCCAGGGTCTGTGCCATATATCGTGCCCCTCCTCCTTTCCCCGCAGGATTCTGCCACCTCCTAGCCAAAGTCCTTTCATAGTTGCTCAAGCTTTTGGTCAATTCTCTAAATCAACATTCTCGAAATTTTGGTCTAAGGCTTCAGGACACCCTTACATGTCATTGAGGGCTTTAAGGCGTTTTGCTCATGTCTCTTGGATCTAGCGTTATTTAATGTAGTTGAAATAAAAACTAGGACATTTAAAAAACATTTAACATAAAGTAAAAACATATTACATATTAACATGACATTTTTAATAAAAATAACTGTATTTTTCAAAACAAAAATAGTATATTGAAAAGAGTGGCATTGTTTTTACATTTTTTTGCCAATTTCCCTCATGCTAGTCTTAATAGAAGCGCCTATCTGCTTCTGCATTCAATCTGTTGCAATATTACACATCGCGTAGGCTCTGGAAAATTCCACTGTAGGTTTGTGAAAGAATGAGAATGAAAAGGGCAGATCATATTTTTGTGTTGTTATGAAAACATTTTTGACCTTTTAGACCCCTTGAAAAGGTCCTGGGAACCCCTCAAACCCTAAGGAGTGAAAGATAATGTCTGTTTTTTCCTCCTAGGCCTGGCACAGATCGAGTTCTTCCAAAGCTCATCTTGCCAAATGAGTCAGGGAGTGGGGAAATGTCTCTTAGGGCTGGTGGTGGGAAGTCCCCCTGGCCTGGAGGCCTGCAGAGGCAGTGGAATGTATCCACGAGAGGATGCAGTTCTGTCCAGGGGAAAGCCCTGGGCAGTGCACCCTGCAAGGGAGTAGATGCCATCACTGTCTCAGCCCTTTCCCCGGAGCGGGGCTCCCCTTGCCCGTCCTGGCCCAGGTCTCCAGTGCCTCTGCTGCAGATTGTAATACAGTTCTGCTGTTGCATTACAGGGAACCCAACAAGACCAACATGGTCACATTCTTCCAGACCGACCTCAGCGGTTACCTCCCACGGAACGTAGTGGACTCCTTCTTCCCCCGCAGCATGGCTGGGTTCTACAGCAACCTTCAGAAAGCAGTGAAGAAATTTCATGAATGATGCTATCACTTGTTGGCAAACAGCTGCCGTGACTCATCGAGCAGCCCCAGTTGTTGGGACACCAGGGATCCCAGGACCACCCAGAGGCCTCGGTGTGCTGTTTGGGACAAGCTGGTGGGCAGCACATCTCTGAGGACACCAGCCAGAGGCATCAACTCACCCCTTCCTGCCTCCTGTTCTGCTCAGGGTTGGCAAGGGAGGAGCTACTCACAGGCTCCGAGCTCTACCCACCTGCTGTTCAAACACATCTCCCGTGGCAGGCTGGACCCAAGGCCTTGGTCGCTTGACAGGGAGATGGCCCGGGCATCACGTGATGTCTCAGAGACCAGTGTACCTGCCAGTCATAGAAAATCATCATCGGTGCTGAAAACCAGGCCCTGTTGCCTTTCACCAGCTAGGGCTCTCTCAGACCTGTGATGCAGACCCCAAAATCTATTTTTCTGATGTAGACCCCCATATATGTTTTTAACACTGCGCAACATTTTATTCCCTTACAAAGGTGTCAGCTTGGAAAATAATGGCTTAAAAATTGGATAAGCATTAAGGAAAAATACTTTCAAAATTTTTTTGTTGAAGGCATTCATTGTATTTCATTTCGTTGTTGTTGTTTGAGATGGGGCCTGGCTCTGTTACCCAGGCTGAACTATAATGATGTAATCATAGCTCATGTAGCTGGGTAGTCCTGGGCTCAAGGGATCCTCCCACCTCAGCCTCCTGAGTAGCAGAGACTATAGGCATGTGCCACCATGCCTGGCTTTTGTCTTCCATTTGAATCCATTGTTTTTTCCTCTTTATCCCTTCTGCGAGTTGACTTCCATGTCCCCAGTAAAACCACACAAGCCAGATCTGCAGCCCTGGGAAGGAGTTCTCCTTGGAAGTGAATCTGAACCAAGCAAACACTCATGTCTACAACTGGACCTCTGGGGAAAAGACCCTTCTTTTTCTTTCCCTTGGGCATTTGCCTTTCCCTGTCCTCTAGAAATGGAAGAGCAAGCCTCCTTCGAGCAGGCCTGGCTGGAATCCCCCCTCCAGACTCTGCTGCAAGATTGCACGACCCCATTGCGCACCATGCCTACCCAGGCACATTGTCAAAACCAGGAGAACAGCCTTGCCCCTGGAAGGGGCCTCGGCATACCCGCGAATTCCTTTCCCTTTCTCCAATCCAGGCTGCACACTCAGAGGTGGATCCTCTAACATGCCCAAGCAACCTCATTGGTGCTTCCATGTGTCTGACCAGAGTCCCTTCATGTACCATTCCCCAGGTTACTATTGCCTGTGCAGGAAATTTCCAGAGTCCTCAGCCTTTGCTCCTCCAAATGAAAAGCACTTCCTGAGCCCACAGGTTCGAGACCCACCTGGGCAGCGAGACCTCATCTCTACAACAAATCAAAGAATCAGCCGGGCATGGTAGTGCATGCCTGTAATTCCAGCTACTTGGAAGACTGAGGTGGAAGGATCGCCGGAGCCCAGCAAGTCGAGGCTGCAGTGGCCGGGAGTGGCCACTGCACTCCAGTCTGGGCGACAGACTGAGACTGCAACTCAAAAAAAAAAAAAGAAAAGAAAAGAAAAGCACTTCCTGTGTGTTACAGTAGCTCCAAAATGTGCCATGATGTGAGCAAGCCTTAAAATACCACAGCTCTGTGTTGAGGAGGGAGGAAGCTTCCTCTGCGTTCCAATGCAACTGCAGATTCCACAATCAAGCCATTAGGGTCAACCAGCTAACTCCCTCTTCTCATCAAGAAATCTTCATCAGACTCTTGAACTGACTTAGAATTCCTTCATTCACGGGCCAGGTGCAGTGGCTGACACCTGTAATCCTAACACTTTGGGAGGCCAACGTGGACCAAGGTTCACTTGAGCCCAGGAGTTTGAGATCAGCCTGGGCAACATAGCAAGACCTCATCTCTACAATGAATCAAAAGATTAGCCAGGTGTGGTGGCACGTGCCTGTAGTCGCAACTACTTGGAATGCTGAGGAGAGGGGATTGCTTGAGCCCAGGAGTTCAAGGCTGCGGTGGGCCATGATCGTGCCACTGCACTCCAACCCTGACAGAGTGAGACTCCAACTCAACAACAACAAAAAAGAATTCATTTATTCATGAAGTGCTTACCAGGTCCCTACGTTATGCCAAAGATGGTACTATATCAGTCCTCATGAGTTGGTCTAGTTGCACCAGCCAAGGAGAATTTTCACGTCTGCCAGGGTCTCTGGAAGGTGCTGGTCTTAGCAAGAAGGGGCCGCCTTGTGCCACCCTGTCTAGCTGGGTGGAAGGCCAGCTAACCAGGGACATGCCTCACTGGGTCCATGGGACATACTACACCTGCACTGCTTCTACACATACATGACTGCTGGCATTGGTTTCAGCTGGTTCAAGCCCTGGATGAGGAGCCAGAAAGCATGCATCTGGTCCAAGCCCTGTCACTTAGAAATTGTGCTCTTGGCCATTCACTTAACACCTCTGTTTGACTTGTGCTTAAAAGAAAAGACAGAGGCACAGATACCAATTCCAGAGCAGACTGCTTCTCAGGCATTGTGAGATGATACATTGTGAGATGATACAGTTAAATGCTGGCAGAGCAGGGATCAGTAAAATACGGAAGAGACTGGAGTGGACTCCTTTTCGTTGATAGTGAAGATGGATCCACAATTGTCAGCTGTGATGTTTACAATGAGGAGGGTGACTGGAAACCTGGATTCCAAGGCATTGTTTTCCACATGTGTGTCGGCTCTAAAGAAGTTGGATGAGAAAACCTAAGTCTCATGGGAATCCCAGCATCACAGCTCAGATGGATGAACATTTGCTAGGACCTTGCTGATTCCTGACTTGAAGACATCCTTGGCTTAGAGACCAGTGGCCCATCTCAGCTGAAAGAGGAGGGAATCTTTAAAACAGTTCAGAAGGCCTGATGCAATGGCCCATGCCTATAATCCCAGCACTTTGGGAAGCCAAGATGGGAGGATCGCTAGAGGCTAGGAGTTGGAGACCAACCTGGGCAAGATAGCGAGACCTTGTCTCTAAAAAAAAAATCAGCCGGGCATCAGCCAGGTGCAGTGGCACACGCCTGTAATCCCAGCACTTTGAGAGGTTGAGGCATGAGGATTACCTCAGCCTAGGGTTCGAGCCTGGGCAACTTGGTGAGACCTTATCTCTACAATAAATCAGAATATTAGCCAGATGTGGTGGCATGCGTCTGTGGTTCCAGCTACTTGGAAGGCTGAGGAGGAAGAATCAATCGCCTGAGCCCAGCGTGTCAAGGCTGCAGTGGCCATGAGTATGCCACTGCACTCAGCCTGGACAACAGAGTGAGACGCCAACTCAAAAAATAATAATAATAATTAGCCAGGCATAGTGGTAGGTGCCTTTAGTCCTAGCTAGTCAAGAGACTGAGGTGGGAGGATTGCTTGAGCCTAGGAGTTTGAGGCTGCAGTGTGATCGTGCCACTGCACTCCAGCCTGGGCAACAGAGCAAGACCCTGTCTCTAAAAACATTTATAAATAAATAAGCAAACAAGCAGATAAATAAATAAAACACCAGAGATGGGAGGAGGTACTGGGAGGATCATGGGCTCACTCAAATCTGTGCCTAGTCCTCAGGCAGCGTCTGCCTATGCACTCACTTGCTTTGTCTGGTCTTTTGGGCCCACGACCAGTTCCACTCTCATCCCTGCTCCCACCTTCTAGTCTTGATGGAAACGTGCCTTCTCCCTCCCTGGGCTGGCCCAGATCCACCACATAGCTTCTTGATAAGACTCACAACAATTCCCCGGTTACAGGAAAGGTCGCTGTGCACACAGATGGTGAGACTGCAGGTGAGGAATGTACCTCTATCACATAACTGCCTTGCCCAGCCTGTGCTGGCACCCAGTGAAGTCCTGGGGAGTGCGTGCTGAATTAAGCCACACCTTTCAGTGGCAGCTTATGCTCATCATCCGTGTTTCTATTAAATCTAAAAAGCTGATCCAAATGCTACCTCAAAGTTCTTGCCCACTGCTCAACAAAATCTAGAATGGATGGGCAAAGCAGCCTGCAGGACACAAACTACTCTTAGCCCGTCATTTCTCAGGATGGTGGCACAATGAACTGTCGGCCACCCTCATGAAGTCCCTGAAGGGGTTTGCAGGAAGATGAGGACTCCAGCTGGGTTCTAAGAGTCCACTGCTGAAAAACGGATTCTTAGCTACCCATGGAGCCTAGAGAAGCCTGCAGATTATAAAACATGATCTCACTGACACTGGCCTCAGGATAACTACTTGGTGTTTTGTCTGTGGTGCTCGCCAGGTCTTTGCCACAGTCTTACTTCACAGGAGCAGGGGGACTGGGGAGGGGCTGATACTCTAGTCCGGGCCTGGTCAAAGGATGCTGATTATTGCTGATACAAAGTCACATTCCTTGTCCTGAGCTTGGCAATCAGGCATTAAGAAATAACCAAACCATGCTGGGTGCAATGGCTCACACCTGCAATCCCAGCATTTTAGGAGGCTGCGGTGGGAGGATTGCTTGAGGCCAGGAGTTCAAGACCAGCCTGGGTGACAGAGAAAGACCCTGTCTCTAATTTTAAAAAATGACCAAACCAAATATCCTTTGGTCAGACACTCAGCTATTTTCCCTACAATGCTTTGCACCCAGTGCATCTTGGCCTACCAGTCTACCAAACAGAAGAAAGGACTCAACTGCCTCATCAGTCACCAGCAGGACAAGCCCTTTACTGTCCCGAGCCTCAGTCCCCTCATCAGTACATCGGCATGGAATCACATAGTGTAGAAGCTGCTGTGATTACCAAAAATAATGTCCATTCAACCACAAGTACAAGTTGGCATGTAGTAGGTAAGTGGTAGCAATTTGTATTTGGCCCTCTCATGTTTGTGCTGTTTCCTTCTATGGGCACACCTGTCCACACCTTGAGCTCTTCACTTCACCTATATTTCTCTTTGCTTACTGCCACCTGGGACCACCCTTCTCTAGAATCATTTCTCCCACCCAACCAAAAACAATTTTGCAAATATCTCATGTTGACAGGTTGTAGTTTCCAAAAATGACCCCAGCAATACTTCCCCTCCCCTTCTGCCCACATAGGTTGGTACCAGTCTGACCAACAGAATAGCAGAAGTGATGCTATACGACTTCCAAGGCCAGGACATAAGCAGGATGCGGCTTCCACCTGGCTCTTACACTCCTGGGAACCCAGACACCATGTTGTGAGGAAGCCTAGCCCACAGGGAGAGGCTATGCATATGCATTCAGACCAGCAGACCCAACCAACAGGCAAGGTCAACTGCCAGGTGTATGCATGAGTGAATTGATCCTTCTCAAGGTTCCAGCCCCAACCTTTGAGTGACTGCAGCTAACACCAAGTGGAGCAGAGATGAACTGTTCCCTCCAAGCTCTGCCCACATTGTAGATTCATGAGAAAAGCCAGTGCTGCTGTTTGAGAATGAAATACAGTACTTGGAACATTTTTCAAAGTTGGACATGAATTTCATATCAAATTGTAATATATCCATTTTATTTATGGCACCACAATATTTTCATTAAGCTCTCTCTATACACAGTCTACAGTTTGTATCAGCCACCCCCGTGTGACTCTGCCCTTACTCTTGGGACAACCCTTTTGCTGAGTGGTATCCCACAAGGTCTGGGCCTGGGCAGCAGCCACAGGGAAGCACACCTGTGCTCTTCCCCATCCAGGTGGGGTGGGCAGCAGAGACCCTGAGAATCAGCAGTCATGGGAGCTGCGTGCTATTGGCTTTGGCTTCAGTATGTCCTGCCTAGGGTTCTCCAGCAGCTGTGGTCCCCTTGGTCTGGAGGCTCCTCCTCCTGATGACAATCGTGACAGGTCCATCCGGCAGAGACTTGATGATGTTCCAGGCTTCAAACCGTGAGAGGCCCTGCATGGCAGTGCCAGCCAGGTGCAAGATTTCATCTCCTGGCTGGACTGTGTCACTCTGTTCCGAGGCTGCCCCTGAAATGAGGGAGAAGATAATGAGTCCCACAGATGATGGGAACAAGGAAAATTGTCTCCTGTCCTTTGTCTCCAAGGAACCAGGACAGCGAGGAGTAGAATGGGGCGCCCATCTCTCGGGAGCTTACTTCTTGGTGTTCCTAAAGTGAGGCATTTCATGAAATGGTGACTCAGAGATTGAGGCACCAGGCTCCAGCTCTCTGTGGCCCTTGGAAAGGTGAAGCCCATGCTGCTCAGGGGAGGAGAACAACGGGTAACTTCAAGCCATAGCCTGGCTGGCGAGATCCCACAGCTCATACTCCTGGGATGCTCACCCTGGGAACCCAGCGCCATGTTGTGAGGAAGCCCAGGCCACAGGGAGAGGCCATGTATACGCATTTGGGCTAGCAGCCCCAGGCCGGTAGAGAACTCTGAGGACCTGAGTTCTCCCCAGAGCCCCTCTTGGACACTGACTCAACATCCCACCCCCTTCACATTTGGTCTCCTCTGCTGCTGAGAACACCAGCATTGGGTGTCATGGAAAGGGAGCTGGTGGGATTTTCAGGAAACAGTCTTCACAGGAATCTGAGCTCTAAATAGCCTGGAGGAGAGTTCTCTGCCCACGAAAAAAGGAACTAGCCATATATGGTTCTCGCTCTTTCAAAGCTATGTGTGGAAACAGTGCTATTTTGCTGTTTATATTAAAGGAAATTTCCCATCCATTTGACACAGTGATCTTCACAAATATTGAATAAGAGTAGAGTATACTAATGATAATCTGGGGGCCAGTCATGGTGGCTCACACCTGTAATCTCAGCACTTTGGGAGGCCAAGGCAAGAGGATTGCTTGAGGTCAACAGTTTGAGGCGAGCCTAGGCAACATAGTGAGACCTCATATCTATTTAAATAAAAAATAACAATAAAAATTTGAAAATAAAATAACATAATGATAATAGTGAAAATATGGATGAAGTATATTGGGTAATTATTCAGACAGGCATTGTGCTAATGTTTTGCATTTATGACAATCATCCTATGGGGTATGTATGACTAGTATTCCCTTTTAACACATGAGGAAAGCAAGGTCCCAGCTGCTGAGTAGCGGGGACTATGTTGGAACCTAGACTTTCTGGCTCCACAATCCACATCTCTCTGTGCCACATCATCCCGGAGCTGGTAGGCTTATTCCATTTAAGCAAATGGGCTCAGGATGAGGGAAAGACTAGCCCAATGTCATTCTGCTGTAAGTGGCAGAACTAACACTAGAATCCAGGTCTCTTGACTTTGAACCCCACGCTTATTACAAATTGACCTTCAGAAGTTATAAGTATCTTTCCCAAGCCAGGGATAGTGGCTCAAGGCTGTTATCCCAGCACTTTGAGAGGCCAAGGCAGGTGGATCGCTTGAGCCCAGGAATTCAAGACCAGTGTAGGCAACATAGAGTGATCTCATCTCTACAAAAAAATTAACTGGGCATGGTTACATGAATCTGTAGTCTCAGCTACGTGAGAGGGCCCTGTCACTTAAGAAGAAAAGCATGGAGGAGAAGTAGGAATAAGAAGAGGGAGGAGGAGGAGGAAGAAGGAGGAGAAGGAGGAGGAAGAAGAAGAGGAGGAAGACAAAAAAGAAAGAAAATCTTTTCAGAATTGGATGCTAGGTAACTGCCATGTAAGCCTCAGTCTACCTCTGAGTTTCTGCAGCTGCAGCAGGACACCCTCTGATGAAACCAGTCAGCAACAGGAGCTCTTGGGGGCAGGAAACAGAGCTGGGAGTCCCTTCGGGTTTTAGGATTAAAAGCCTCTGGAGCCAGGCTCGGTGGCTCAGCCTGTAATTCCGCGCCTTTGGGAGGCTGAGGTGAGTGAATTGCCTGAGCCCGAGGGTTCGAGATCCGCCTGGGCAGGCAAGACCTCATCTCTACAATAAATTAAAAAATTAGCCGGGCATAGTAGCACACGCCTGTAATTCTGGCTACTCGGAAGGCTGAGGCAGAAGGATTGCCGGAGCCCAACAGGTCAAGGCTACGGTGGCCAGGAGCGGCCACTGCACTCCAGTCTGGGCGACAGAGTGAGACTCCAACTCAAAAAAAAAAAAAGCCTCTGGACACACGCCTCATCTCTTTACCCCTTTTCCTAGAAAGGGAGGCTCAGACCCAAAAGGGACTGGTCACTCAGGAAGTTAGAGGCAGAGCCGGGACTGCTAGAACCTGACCTCTCCAGGGCTTCTCTCTTCACAACCCCTTGCTCTGTGGCCTGGGGGCTTTCAGTTGGAGGCGCATCAAAGAGTCAGAGGTAGTTTTACATGGTAACCATTCATGATTTCCACAGGAAAATCCAAGTGAACCCCATATCAAATTGGTTTGTGCCCCAATCTCTGATGAATGAAATATCAAAATGTTGAGTAAAAGCAGGAGCTGACGGGTCCTGGGCTAGGATAAGGTGAGTGAGGCTGAACAGCGTAGTGCAAAGTTAGACTCTGTCTCTATCTAGACTTGGATAGTTTGTTTGCCATGGGATCTTTAAAATTAATTTTGATTTTTAAAAATATTGCACTGAAATGGTATTGCTCTTAATTACTGAGTGTTTTGGCACCCCATTAGAGTGTGTTCCCCAGACCAGTGCCTCATTGCCTCACCCTAGTCCTTACCCCGCCAACATGCAGCACACCCAGGTCTTAGTCACTTAAGAGAACCCAGCAAAACAGAGGTATTGAAGGGGGTCTAGGCAAAAGAGAAAAGGGAGAAAAAGTAAACTTGACTGGGTTGGTGAATCACGCCTTTAATCACAGCAGTCTGGGAGGGCAAGGCAAGAGGATGGCTAGAGCCCAGGGGTTTGAGACCAGCCTGGGCAACATAATGAGACCTCATCTCTACAAAAAAATCAAATAATTAGCTGGGCGTGGCGATGCATGCCTGTAGTCCCACTTACTCAAGAGGCTGAGGCAGAAAGATCACCTGAATCCAGCCGGTTGAGGCTGTGGTGAGCTGAGGTGGCACCCCTGCATTCCAGCCTGGGCTACAGAGTGAGATCCTGACTTACAAAAAGCAAAGAAAAAAAAAAAGCAGAACTAAGACTTTAAAAGGCTAGCATACCTTTTTTCTTTTTCTTTCTTTTTTTTTTTTTTTTGAGTTGGAGTCTCACTCTGTCACCCAGGATGGAGTGCAGTGGCACACTCAAGTCTAACACAGCCTCAACCTGCTGGGCTCAGGCAATCCTTCCTCCTCAGTCTCCACTACAGGCATGTGCCACCATGCCCAGTTAATTTTTTTTGATTTATTGTAGAGATGAGGTCTCACCAAGTTGCCTAGGCTGGTCTCAGATCCCTGGGCTCAGGCAATCCTCTAGCCTCTGCCTCCTAACATGCTGGGATTACAGGCATGAGCCACCATGCCCAGCCCAGCATGCCTTTCAAGAGGACATGGGCTTGTAGGGAACCAACATGGCCCAGAAGTTGCCCGGAAACCTCTCGAGGGTCTGGCCACATGCCCACAACAAGAGAGAAAGCAAAGAGCCAGACACACCGCACCTTTGAAGATCCTGTTAATGGTGAGAGGCTTGTCTCCATGCAGGGAGCCCCTCCCTCCTTCCAGGCTGAAGCCCAGCCCTGCAGAGGTCTTTTCCAGTGTCACCGTGCAGACCGTGGCCTCTGCTGCTGAGAAAAATACAGGGGCTTGGTCAGGAATCCTCTCCCAGCCCACAGATGCCCTGGACCTCAAACGGGCCCGGCCTGATGCTGCCTGTTGTATGAGTGCATGTGCACAGACACACATCTCAGGCAGCGTACTAGGCAGGGCACATGTTCTTGGGGCCACTAATTACTGCGTAGCCCCATCAGAACTGGCCCCAAAAGACCAAAGGCGATGTGACCCATGGGGCTTCCAACTGAGTTGGGAGAACTTACTAGATTCTACAGAAACATCACTGGCTGCAGAGGCTGAGGCTGCAGAGTCAGTAGAGGAGTTCAGGTCGGGCATGGCCTCCGGAGTCGGCTTCCTCGTGACAATCACAGCTTGCCTTGGGTCTCGAGCTTGGCGGAGGATGGCCAGGGCATCATTGTGTGTGGTCCCTTTGAGGGACTTGCCGTTGATGGAAAGAACCTCATTGCCCTTCTGAATTGTCCCTTCCTGGGAGGCCAACCCGTTTGGAAACACTCTATGAACCTGAGCAAACCAAAGGAAGTCAGGACCCCCCAGAAGGCATCTAAGTCAGATCTTCATTCTTAGTCAACCCGAAGATTTTTAGGCCAAAGAAACTTAAAACCATGTCCTAGATTGAGTTGCTGACATAGGGGCCAACTTTCCTTCCCTCTCTACACAGAGAAGTGATCATGATCAAAATTGGCCAGATAAGCCCCTCAGAATCCTTCTCAACACAGTGTTCTAGACTGTGTCACCTCAATCCCAGTTAACATTCCAGGTAAAAATCCTTTGCCTTACCTGCCCTAAGTCAGCATTTCTCAAAGTAGTTTTCTTTTTCTTTTTTTGAGTTGGAATCTCACTGTGTCTCCCAGGCTGGAGTGCAGTGGCCGCTCCCAGCCACCACAGCCTCAACCTGCTGGGCTCCGGCGATCCTTCCACCTCAGCCTTCCAAGTGACCAGAACTATAGGCGCACGCTACCACGCCCAGCTGATTTTTTGATTTATTGTAGAGATGAGGGCTTGCCAAGTTGCCCAGGTGGGTCTTGAACCCACGGGATCAGGTAATCCACTCGCCTCGGCCTCCCAAAGCGCAGGATTACAGGCTTAGCCACCGAGCCTGGCCTAGTAGTTTTCTTAAAGCCCTGAATCCATAGCATATTGATAAGTGTTGTGTAAGAAAAGGTTTCTAAGATCAAAGAAACCTGGAGATTACTGGGCTAAACACAGGCTCTCGAAATGTCTACTTTTTAAAAAGACACTAGAGACTCTGCAATACAAATCTGCATGGCAGATCTCTAAGGATCTCGCTGTGTAATACAGGGATTGCCAGAGATGCCTTTTTTAACAGAGATGACTTTTTTCAGACAGAAATTCTCAGGTTCCATCTTCTGCAGAATGCATTTTGAGAAACACCATTCCAGATAGTCTAAGACATTTTAAAGCTCCTCCTTCAGAAATTCTGATTCGTCACCTTCAGTCACTCCCTAGTCCCCTTTATGTGAGCTATGCGGAACAAACACAGTACAATCTCAAGTCTCTTCCTCAGCCTCCTTAATGAGGTAAATTATAATGAAGAGGACTCAATGATAGCATGTATGGGAAACCACTAAAACCACTAAAACGTGCTACATGTTGTTTTGCTGGTATGATGTCAAACAGCTCTTAGTTTCTCGAAATGGTTTTAGTGTCAGAAAAAGTTTGTTCTGTGGTCAGACCTGGTTAGGGTCCCCAGATTATAAGGTCCAAGCATGAAACAGAACCTCCTCTCTGGATCTTAGCTCCCTCCTCTAAAAAACAAGCGTAAATGCTACCCAGTTCTCAACCTGCAGCGTGGGAAGATGGATTTAGACAACAGGTCAGCGAGGGCCCAGCGTGGCACTTGGCCTTGGGTGGTGCTCAGGGTTAGTTCCCTTTTAGTGAACGTGGAAAGGAAGGGAAATGCTCAAACTCAGAAGGAGAAAGAGGAAATGTCTGTGCCTGTGCTTGACCAAGTAAACTGCTTCCTCCTGGTTCCTGGGTAGCTGCAGTGTCGCAGAAGCAGCTGGTGAGATGAGGTAGACAGAAATCACCACTACAGGGCTGAGAAAAAGATCCAAAGTGCTAGTCCCTGGGGCAAGCTCTCTTTTCTTCTCTTCACATAGAAAGCAAGATACACAGTTAGGAACCTTTTTGTAGTATTCAGCTGTGTGCTTAGAGACAGAAATAGATACTGGTTTCAGGTGTTTCTGTGTGGTGGCAAACTTACAAAGTGGCAAACTTACAAAGAAATCAAAGAAGTCACTGCTGACATATGAGTGACTCAAGTGACCCGCAGGCATGTGCCAAGTTGCCACGCAAGGGGATGTGACATGTTTAATGCTGGCTGATGCTGTGAACGGAAGGACTGGTTTTCAGCTGGACAATGGAATTCAAATGAGCCCAGCACAGACCACACAAAGGATGCATTGAAACAAGAGAAAAAGCACTTGGCTTTAGAGAGACGAAGCAGCCATGCAGGGCTCCATGAAGCTCCACGAAACTGAGAGGAGCAGAAACCGTCTGGGTCAGGTGCAGGTGACCTGAGGACAGCAGCCAAAGCTGATCAGATCGATTGAGCTGAAATGATGGGCACCCACAGAAAAAAATGCACACACCCAGGCCTGTTGCCCTCCCCAGGCTCTGGGAGGTCCTGAGTGAACAGAGGGCTACACCGGGACATCTGAAGCCCCTGCCGTGCATTGTGGTCTGTGGACTGAGAACAGGTACAATAGCTATTTCTTCTCCCCAGCCTGGGCTCCATGTCTCTCAACCAACCATCAGGTCAGCTTGGCAATTATCCAAGTTCACATTCCCACTATCCAAGGGAGTAAAACCAGGAAGGCCACCTCCTGTACATGGCCCTGCCTGCCCAAGGCTCCCTGCTATCCAGATGTGGCTAGTTCTTCTGTCCTGGTTATGCATCCTTCCAAAAATGCCCCTGTGGTCATAAGTCACCATTGCCTCACCTTTAGTGGCTAACAAACTACAGGTCTGTATTTCCAAAAACAGAGACATGATATAGAATATAATATTGTTTGAATTAATGTGGACTTTGCAACAACTTGGATGAACTTAGAGTCTATCATACTCAATGATCTATCGCAGAAACAAAGAACAGAGTACCATATGTTCTCACTCATAAGCAGACCTTGAACAATTATCATAATACTATAAGAAAGGGATTG